CAAGGGTTTTTCGTGAGACCCGTAAGATCAATTCTCAACCCAATTCTCAACCCTTGGATTAGATCTACAGTTTGAACATTCATAATCACAAAATTGTCACGAGACTTCTCAATAATCACAAAATTGTCACCGTACAACTTTAGACCATTAGATCATTAGCTTATAAAGTTGATCAATGAACATAAATTGGTCCTACGGGTCTCACGAAAAACATTTGGTCTCACGTGAACCCAACCCTACATGTGTGTGTATATATATATATATATATATATATATTGTGATTTATTTATAATACAACATTTTGTACTATATTGTTGTATATGTTTTCTATTATCATTTTTTTGTCTTAAAGTTATTTCCTATTGAAATGCATATTTTTTTTATAGGAAAATTACCCAAAATAACCGGTTTATATATATGTTACATTAAGAAAATTATCACTTTTTAGAGTTTACTCATAAAATGACCAAAAAATCGTCTTTAGAGGACGATTTTACTTTATGGAAGGCGATAGTACATAATCATGCATGTATGAGTCCCACATGTATACCATTTAAGGGACAAATATGATTTTATAAGACTTTTTCATGCAAATTGGGCCCATCCCATGCAAATCGTCCTCGGGGGCGATTTTGACTTCTATTTTGTCTTGTAGTGGAGACATTCTATGAAGCAACTTTTGTTTGATTTGACAACTCAAAGTAATAATGTACATAAAAGTTCTCCTTTGAAGTATATAATATTTATATACAATAAATACACAAATAAACTAATACACCCTCCTCACCTTTTGTGATGTCTGAATCTCTGATCTTTTAAGATAACAAAAACTACGATACCGCTAAGATAAACACCGTTGGAATATATAAAAGTTTCATATTACAAGTAGGTGCCTTTCTATAAAATAATTGTAATCAATCATTAATTCTGATATATAAATCTTTATGGATTATTGGTCTGATTGATTGGTGGGTGTCCAGTTATATTTATGTTGACGGTTGTCATTCATTCAGACAAATTAAATTAAGACCTTAATTTGTTTTAGTTTATAGTTTGAAAATGATGTGTTATCGATATACTTCTAATTACTGATTTTTCTGTTCATTAGGGATGGAAACGGGACGAGTAATGCATCCCCGACCCCGGTTTTAAGCCCCCCGTCCCCAACCTTGCCCCAACTGATCCCCGAGGGATTTAGGGGACCCATTTAGTAAAAAACAATGTATTATAAGATTATAATTATAATGAATCTTCTCTAAATTATTTATCAGTATTGAAAAAAAAATATATGTATTGGTCACTTAATAATAAATGTATACACATATAAGGTTGGGTTGCGGTGAAAATGACAGTTATGGTGAGAAACGTAAAAAAAGATATCCACCCTTGGATCAATCCTAATTGAAGGTCAATACTAATGAGGTGCATCAGATCAATTCTATCCTAAAACGTAATTCATGGTGGCCATGAGGTCCAGATCCCTTCTTACAATTCTCACCATAACTTCTCTTCTCACACAATCATTTGCCTACATATATATATATATAGAGAGAGAGAGAGACTTGGGATCATGTAAGACCAACGGGTTTTTGTGAGACCCGTAAAACCAATTTCATCATCAAAACAAAAAAAGAAGAACCCGACATGGATGCAAATGATGATTTTATTTCACCCAACTGTTTACAGACATCAAAGACTTCAAAACAAAAAAAGAAGTGGAATCTTGATCCCTCTTATGACATTTTGCCTATTTGTCTATACAAAACTCTTTACAATATCACTTCTTTAAACTCCATTTTCAGCCAAAAAACAGCTGAATTGGGAGTGTTTTAGAAGATCAAACATGGGTCTGATTCAACAAGGTGTAGCCAGATACGAGGGAACTAATTGCAAAACCAAAAAAAGCAAAGAAAGACATCACTACAGATGCAGAAGCCATCTTTGTGAACTCATCTTTTCCCCAATTCGATACCCAATCATCGACCCTTGTGGCCGCTGAAGATGATGACGAGATCAACAAATACGCCAATATCTGTAATTTTTATTAACAAAAGTTACGTATATTACTTACACCAAAACCATCATGCATCCATAGATGAAACCAAACCAAACGTATATCTGGGGAGGATATGATGTACGCAAACCATACCTCTACCCCTAAAGGTAGAGATGCAGTTTCTGTGCGTTTTGTATGTGATACAGAACAAAAACAGGTTGTCCAATGTTTGGTGCGACATTAAGACCGGGACAGGGCAAAACCGAGTGGGACAAAAATTGCATCTTTTTGTCCCACCAGAATAGATGGAACAAAAATAAGGGAGATGGGACAAGATTGGTAAATTATTATCCTACCCATCTCAAATTAAAACTCTAAAACTTTGCACAATTCTTTCTCCTTCCTACCTCACTCTCGCCCATCCAATTCAGTTCAGTCATATATACGTACCAAATGCAACCCCGGCTTCTGAAAGTATTTTTTAAGCAACACATATATTGATGCTTTAAAAAAATTAACTTTGCCTTGTGTTACAAAGGGTGTTAAAGTGATTGGTTATAGAACTTGCCTGATCTATTGTGAAGTCAAAATGACTACGAATAGAATACGAGAAGATATGTCTTTTGTAAATCAAGTGGAATGTCAAAGCAATGGCTTGGAAGGCTGCATATGCGAAAGCAATAGCATTCACTGCTACCAAGTACCTATGCCATCAAACGAGCAAAGTGAAGAATACAATGAATGAGAACTAATGCGTATGACTAAGAAGGAAAATTGCTACAAAAATCGATGCCCAAACAAATATGTTTAGAAGGAAGAAGTGAAGGTAGTGTCCTTTAAAAAAATGAGTCTGCCTTAAAATCTATAAACAGAATTTATAGACAATCTTTTAGACTGTTCCAAAACCAAACCAAACCAAACCAAACCAAACCAAACCAAACGAGCAGAGGATATCCCACATGGAGATGGGGTCAGGGTGGGATGTAGGCTAAGGCAAACCTGTCAACTACCCCCAAAAAGTAGAGGGGTTGTTTCCACAAAGAAAGGTTTCAACACTCCCTTCTATTATAAGACTTTTACTTGTGAGGTCAAATTGAACACTATTCAAATCTATAATCAATAGGAATTCAAAATTTTTCTTAAAAAAATTAGATAACTACTTCAATCTGCATACTAAACAATATATACATACATACACACACAAGTTATTGATTTTTTTTTTATTAACCTGGATATTCAACTTGCTATGCGAGCCGACTAATCCCAGGGCGACCACCTGCTTTGCAGATAGCCCGGAGTCACCGCATTTGAACCTCCGTGGCCACAAGGGGGTTTTTATTCCTCCTTGGATTTGAATCTGGGACCTCCTGGTACTTTTGACCTTTGGAGCCAAGCTCAAACCAATCAGGCACCACCCTTGTGGTTCAAGTTATTGACTTTTCAAGCCATCACATTTGGCTTTACGTTCTAAACAAACCATCATTCTTGCAAAAAACAACACTACACTTAGTCCAAAGAATGAGCTATTTTGGACTTTACAGCCAAGTAGATTGGTTTTCTTTGCATTTACATTTCAAAATGAGTCCAAAATCAATCATTCTTACAAGCTACAGTTTTTTCTTCTGCATTTTCTTAGTGATTATAGTTAGTTTGCAACAAAAAGCCAAGTACCATGGTTGGTAACTCCAATACAAACATAACATTGTTGGCTTTAATATAGTAACAAAACTTGATCAATTTTGCAATCAGAAACTAACAGGATTGAACTCAAAACTCACAGGATCATTGCTTATTCTGCTAAACTTTGAACATCAGGAATTTGAGGGACCATTTTGTTCTGGGATCAAATCCTATTGCATTTCATATTCCCAATTGAAGCTAATAATGTACTAGCAGAAAACTAGTCAAATCTAATCCATACTAACAGTAGTTTCAACTTATGTTCTGATTACTTGGAATTTGGTCTAAGATCTCAGAAATGATCAACTGAGTTTGACTAAAAATTGACCCCCAATTTCGCTAAGCAATATGTTAGAATTGAAGCTAGTTTGAAATGAAATCGAATTATACCTGTATTCCTTGTATCGATCAAAGGAATCACCACTCCATCCTTGAGTTTTATCAGACGCCATCACAGAAAAAGCAATCAAGGTTAATATCATCTCACATACCCTAAACCCTAACGCTGCTCTCTCAATGGTCACTTCGTTCCTTGACCTACTCGAAATCGACGTCACCGGCACCCTTGACCTCCTACTCGCTCCATCACCACCACCGATTCCGTCATCAACACCGCCGGGGCCTACCTTAGTAGTAACACCAGTCACCAACTCCTCCCTCACCGACCGGTTATGCGTTACGGCAGGCGAAGATTTTGCGAGAGGTGCGACATTGATGGTATGAGAAGGTTTTTGGTTGTCGGAAAGAGGAGATCTGACGGGAGGGTGGTAGGTGACGATGGCTTTAGAAGTAGAGGAGGGGAAGTCGTCGGAGCGAAGAGGCGAGTCGGCGCGAAGTGGAGAGTGGAAGTCGTCGATTTGGGAATCGGTGTCGGAGATTGATCGGTTGCTGGTGGCGGAGCTGTGGTGGCGATGGTGGTTTTTAAGGAAATCCATGGCGGATAATTTGCAGCTCCTCTTGGGGTGAATTATTAGGGGGTGGTGGGAAAGCGATGTAAGCAAACTAAAGTTTAAAATAGCAATAAACCTTGGAGGTTGTTTAGAAAAAATGAAATTTATTATTTAAAAATCAGTTCAAATAAGAAGGTTAAATAGTGTGTTGAAAGTAAATGACAAATTGTATGAAAAAATAACGTACTTTAATTTGATTCTTATTTTGGGTAACGTATTTTCAAAACTTTCATTTTAATAACTAAGATGTAAATTTTTTAATATTTAAGTACATGGGTAACCGGTTGAAACATTAACCGGTTAAACATGTTGAAACATTAACCGGTTAGATTAAGACATTCATGTCAGCAAATAATACTGAGTTGGATACCACAACACTCGCCACATCAGCATGATAACGGGTTAATGCATCAACTAGTTACCCGGGTATTTAAATATTTAAAGTTTTACATCTTAGGTACCAAAATGAAAGTTTTGAATGTACGTTACCTAAAATAGGAATCAAGTTAAAGTGCGTTACTTTTAAGTGCAATTTGTCCAAATTAAAATATGAAAGTTATTGAAAAAAATCTATTTAAAGATGAATATGTGAACTGATGTTAGAAATTATTCATGAGTTTATATATGCATCTTTAAATTAAGGGTGTTTGTGATCCAATTTGGATGGTTTAACACCTGAAACCACAAAAGCAAACTCCAATGGCGATTTAAGAAATTTACCAAACTGAGCAGTTTGGTTATATTCAGATGGCACCAGACCATCAAGTTGTTCAAACCATCAAAAACGGTTCGGTTTTACTTGGTTTGACTGGTTTGAACGGTCCAACTGTTTCTTTTAACACCTCTACTTTAAATGGAATGTTTCAATGATTCGCGTATGTAAATTTCATTCTTACCTTCTCACAATATGTAGCTTTCTTATTTGAACATCCCATACAATGGGAAAGATTTAAACATTATAAGTTGCAAATCGTTCACAAGTATCTTGTGGGTCTTAGGCTTTCTGTCATGTTTCACAAAATGGAGTCATGACAGGGGTAACAGAGGCGGCTGGAGTTGAGAGACGCACACCCAATTGGGACACAACAGAGGTGTTTTATTAGTATCGTGAGGGCGTCATGAGACCTGGGGATGTTCGTGAATCGTTGGTGCGTAGGGAGATAGTCAGGTCTTGAATCGAGGGTATTTAAGGAGACGCCCAAATTGTGAACCAATTTCAGAAAAGGAAGCGATCATAAGAGCTATTTGGCTTCACTTTAACATAGTCGATTCCTAACCCGAAAAACAAATTTATCATAAGAGCTATTTGGCTTCACTTTAACGTGTATGTTTCACTTGTTTTCAAATCTATAGTGTTACAGAAATCCTCTCAGCTGTCTTTATCCATTAAGATCCTTCATCAAATGGATGTTCTCCTACAAGTATATAATCTCTTATCTTTGTATTCTCATTAAGTCATTGTATCTCTATGGGCTCTTGATCGGTAATATCTTCTAATATTCAACATCATTATTTAATCATGTTTTACCGGAACATAATCCCATGTCTTCCATTAAGCAAGTTGGGCCAAACCGTGCTTTACAATGGGCTTATACCCGAATTGTTATTTAACTGCGTTGCAATGATTCTAGTTGAATTAACCAACAAATGAATCATGAGACTGTTTGACAGTTGCTGAATGGTTTGGTGTAGAATGATTAAGAGGCTTTCATGATATAGTGCAAAATGAAATATAACTGTTTGGTAGTTGTTTACAATGAAATTAGGGCGCTGAATGGTTAAGGGAGGCCCATGATACAAAATCATTCAGAGAGTTTTGAAACCATTAAGAGGCAGACTTTTTTTGTCAAACAAGATTCACCTCTTTACGATTCACAGCCTGCCTCTTGATGGAACTATTATAAAACCACGTTAATAGCTAACATAAGTAAAATAAATTACAGAAATACAATATAGTATTTTATTTACATCAAAAGCATATGTTCAAATGGGAGCGTTCATAAGAACGCGAGAACGTCATGGAACAAAACAAAAAATATGATAAGATGAATGTCAAATTAAAGTGAATAAAATTATCGGTTTTTTGTATATCTTGTTTGAATCCAATTTTTATTATAGTTCAATTATTTTCGATTCAAAAATTAGCGAGGCGGGTTTTTAATATTAACCTGGATATCCAACCCACTATGCGGGCTGACTAATCCCAGAGCGACCACCTGCTTTGCAGATAGCCCGGAGTCACCACATTTAAACCTCCATGGCTACAAGGTGATTTTTATTTCTCGGATTTGAACCTGAATACTCCAGGTACTTTTGACTTTTGGAGCCAAGCTCAAACCAATAAGACACCGCCCTTGTGTTTTGATGCGGGTTTTTAAATTAAAAAAAATGATTGTAACCATTTTTTAATCATGTCCGTTAAATCATCTCATCATACATCAAACCTATTTTCGTGTTTTTTATAAATTAAAGGTGTTCCCATGTAACATTTCAAATTAACTATAGCAGATATTATCTACTTTGTTCACATCTGGACTTACGATTCTAAAAAAACGTCTGATTAAAAAAAGTATCATGTCCCTTATAACACAATCTTTGTTCCCCTTCCAAACGAGATATGGGATCTTACATCTCATTTGAATCTTTCACCTTTACATAAAAGTTCTTTTTTTGAAGTATATAATATTTATATACAGCAAATAGAACAAATAAACTCACACATCTTCCTCACATTTGGTGAGGTTTGAACCCCTGATCTCCTAAAAGACCAAAGACTCACATACCGCTAAGACAAATACCTATTCAACCTTTACATAAAAGTTATTAGATTGGTGAAATGTATTTGTAGTATGCTACTTTTCTCATGGTGATGGTAGTAGTTGAATCCCACTTTTGGTACACTTGTATTGAATCTTCCAAATGCTTTTAACTTTCCAAAAATAGAAGTTCCCATATTTTGAAATACCATATTCATAGTTGAAAACAGGTTAACGTCAAAAACAGATAACTTTCTAAAACAAATCTGTACGAGTTGAGTTAATCTGTAAACACTGGCGCAACGAGGGGATAACGAGCATGTGTGCCAGGTGTTTATTTCCCCTCTGATTTTTGTAGTTAATAGACGTTTAAAAAAATATATAAAATTATGAGTCACATAATTTCCGTCTTTTCTCTTAAATAAAAAGTATAACTAATTTGTAAACTTCATACCGACTTTCTAACTCCACTGGTGCTCCTCGACTTTTTTGTCGTCTTTTCTGTTTTATAAATAATTAATACGTTGAATATATTATAAAGCCTATATATTAAAATAAGTATCTAACTTACAAAAAGAACCGGTATAAGATGTTAATATTCGAGTATACTTTTTATAAATTTTAACAAGAGTGGTGTCTGATTGATTTGAGCTTGGCTCCAAAGGTCAAAAGTCCCTAGAGGTCCCATGTTCAAATCCAAGGAGGAATAAAAATCATCTTGTGGCCGCGGATGTTCAAATGCGGTTACTACAGACAACCCATAAAAACAAGTGGTTGTCTTTCAATTAGTTAACTTGTATAGCGGGTTGGATATTCAAGTTAATAAAAATAAGTTTAACCTACTGTTGATAAAATTAAATTAAATTAATTTATTTTTGAATATATTTATTAAAATAATCCATTTTATTCAAGCTTAATTGTTTATAAATTCAAATTAGACGTATATTTTGTTTTAATTTTCATTTCTTTTATTTCATAGTTTTTATATATATAATTAAGGGTTGTTTGTTTACCTCTTAATAGTTCTCTTAAGAGACAACATCTGAATCGTTAAAAGATGAATCTTGTTTGACAAAAAAAAAATTGCATCTTAATGGTTCTAAAAACCCTCTGAATGATTTTGTATCATAGGCCTCTCTTAACCATTTTGCGCCCTAATTTCGTTATAGATAATTACCAAACAATTGTATTTCATTTTGCACTATATCGCGAGAGTCTCTTAATTATTCTGACCACTTAATCATTTTGCACCAAATCATTTAACAACTGTCAAACAGTTCCTAAGATGTATTTTTTATAAGAAAGTGAATAAAATTCACGAGGTTAATTAATGCATATGTCTACGTGAAATACAAGTTTAGACTAAATAAATATTAGAGTAAATTACAAATATTAATCCGTATTGTTTTAAAACTATAAAATGGCCATTATGGTTTGTAAAATTGTACGATTCGGTCCCTTCCTATAACAGTCGTTAAAAAAACTTCGTTAAATGAAAGGTATTTTATCCTTTCATCGATTTTTCATATTTCAGATATATAACTTCTGTTTTTTCAATCATTTTATGGGTCTGATTTTAGGTTTTGCATCAATTTTTTTTGCTGATTTAGGTTTTGTTCATAAATTTGTGTCTAAATCTATTCGAATATGTGTTCATACAACAAATCAGGGTTATTGATTGTGGAAGCCAACGTAGGGATGAAAATAGTGGGTAAATTGACCAATGTGCCCCTCACGTGTAGGGCACATGAACAGACTTAAAGACAACTACTTAACGGTGTTAAGTGAAGGGACCATAGTTGTTATGAAAATAAAAAGCTAGACACCACCAGTGTAGATAGTTTGTTTTAGAGACCAAATCCAAAATTTAAGTAAACCATAAGGACCATCAGTATAATTCGCTCTACTTAAAAAAAATCAAGTAATCTTCAGATAATTTATCACTTCATTGGGTTTTTCTTAGGGGTGAGCATAGGCGGGTACCCGCCCTTTTTGACAGGAACCAGAACCGAAACCGGAACCGGCGGTTCTTGAGATATTGGAACCGGAACCGGTTGGAGCGGTTCTTGAATTTTTGGAACTGGAACCGGAACCGCCGGGAACCGGTTCCGGTTCCGGGTACCCGTTTCCTAAAATATTAAAATTTTGTTATTTAGAAATAAAAATAAAATATTGCCAAAACACTAAATTAAATAAACAAGAATACAAATTATACGGAATAATGGTTACAAA